CAGGGCCATCAAGTATTTTCCTACTAGCAGTGGTTTTAAAGAGACTAAATATTGTGAAATAGGCATGCATTAGAAAAAAAAAATTTTTTTGCCCTGTCATACACTTTAAAAATCAGAAGAGAGAGATCATAAGCATTACTGAGAGCTGAAAGCATTTATTGTGTACAAGTTTCCACCATGTTGGAGAATCTCTACATGATCAATCAACCTGTCACTGTATGCGGGCAGCATCTGTTCATTCAGACTATACTGAAGCAAGTTGTCAACTTCATTACAAATAAAAATATGGAAACATACACACTGGCATCTTTGCTACATACCTTTGGGGGCTCTTCTTTTTTTTTTTTTTTTTTTCAAGCAAAAGAAGACCATGGTAACGTCTGGTATCTGTAATTGATACAGTAGTCTTTGTCACATGGAATGTTTGGGCCAAGAAATTTCACCCTTGCACACACCTCAATATAAAAAAAAAAAAGTAAAATTATTGTTAAAAATGATGTATTGTACCTGTGGTTCAACAGACAGTGGTCATTCCCTATAGAAAGATTGCCACTAAATTTTTTTGTTCACACTTAATATCTGGGGCAAAATGGGACACGGTTTCTCATCATGCAGGATTCTGATATAGTCTTAAGATTAGTAGGTTTCAGTCACATAATTACATAGTTAGTCTGAAAAAAGACACATGGCCATTTAGTTCAACCAATAGAGAAAAGAGAAATAGAAAATATCCATATACACAATCCTATACCAGGGGAAAGGAAAAAAACCCAAAAATAATAATGCATGATTCAATTTGCTCCAGCAGGAGAAAAAATTCCTCCCTGATCACCCGGGAGGCAAGTGGATATTCCCTGGATCAACTACTCCTGGTGTTAAGATAAAATAGTAATCTAGAATAATATTAAAAAATAAAAGAATAAAGAATGTGGTACCTAGAATATTTGACACATAAATTGGATTATATTTTGATACCCTGCTGCTGTAAATGATTAAATAATTTTGAGTAAGGCCTAATGCACACTGTACAAGTCAAAAAGGTTTTTCCCCTACAGGAGTTTAAAGGAGTTTTCAGCATCAAAAATGTGGTTAAAGGCCACATTTCTGCATGCTCATTAATGGACACTAATGCGCGTTCACATATGTGCGTTCCTGCATCTAGCACTAATGCCTTCTATTGGTCAGATTTAGTTGCTCCAGTGACAATTGGCAAAATTCCCTCACATTGGAAAGATTGATTCCTGTTGTCTTTACGGGACAAGAAAATGAAGGGAAGTCTCCCAAATTGGACACAGATGGCAAAAAACATCAAAGGTTTAAATAATTTCTAATGTGCAAAAACTGAAAGCAATTTTTTTTTCAAACAGATAAGGATCTAGGGGTAGACTGGCAATGTAGATTGCAGAAAGAAAGAAACAAACCTCTCTCCTTCCATCTTTTTCCCGTCTTCCTTCTTTTCTTCCTTTTCTTGTTCTTACTTTTGTGTTTTCTTTCCCTTTAGCAAAAGCACTAGTAGCAATGTTGATTATTGTCAAGGTCCTACCTTTTCCCAGAGGTTATGCTGCTCCATGTGCTGGCATCCTTCTTGGATTTCTACAGAGCATGGTGGGAGTCTTTTATGCCTTCAGGCCTCTTCGGTCCATCCCCCAGAGGGGTGTGGTTGATCATATATAAGCCTGTTGTCCGCACGTGCCCTTTGCATTCGTGTCTTGTGTATTAGTGTTGCAACAGCTCTGTTTATACTCTCGTGACTCTCCTGGAATCTGACTCGGCTTGTGACTAGACCATTCTCTGCGTTTTCCTTTGATCTGACCTCCCGTTGCTGAACCCGGCCTGTGATTCTTGTCTACTGTTCTGTACCGTTTGTCCCGTTGTTGTGGACCCGGCCTGCCCAACTACGCTATTGTCTGATCTGATTCCTCCCAGCTACACACGCCATTGGCGGCGGCCATTACCGCAGCTGGGGTGTCTCGGGGGCCGTGACCTGGTTCCTGGCTGCGTCAAGTCCATCCCCACCATCAGGGGCCCTGGTGAAGGGCAGCCTGGGACTTAGACTCCGCGCCCTGAGGGACTCCGGTCTGCGGGTGGTGGTTGTCGTCAGTCAGTGCGCGGGACCCTGCCACTAGGCCTGCCTGTCCGTTCCACAGCTCCTGCCCTGACAATTATACAGTAATTGCCTTGAGAAGGGTGAGATGAGTGCTAGAGGGTCCAGCAGGGGGACTGTCAGGGACCATCGCGACGCATGGGTCTACACAGGCGTAGGTGTCTGCCAAGACGTGTAGGTGGCAGGGCACTAGGACCCAGGCGCACCCGTCTTGACAGTACTAGGCAGGCACTAGGACCTAGGCTGCACCTGTCAGGTGCAGGGCGGCCTATTTAAGCCAGCTCTGCACAAACACTTGTTGCCGAATGGTCTTGTATGCTGTTACCTGTGTTTGGTGGTTTGGTCTATTGCTGGGAGAGCTGCCGGGGGGGGTTCCCTTTTTTTTTTTTTAGGGGCACCCTCCGGGTGTTATTCTATCTGGAGGCGAGACACGATTGGGTGTCGAACATGGGGACTCGTGGAATGAGAGATTCACTGCGCTTTATGGTGAAGCCGGAATTTAAGGATGTCGTGGATTTAAGGATGGTCGTGGTGGATTTGTTGCTGGATTCCCTAGGCTTGGCGGTATGGGATATTATGTGTTTGCAGGATTTTCCACAGCAGAGAATTTACGATATTACTTTTATATCTACTGAGGTGTGTTGGAATGCGTACGAGAAGGCCAGAGGAGCTGTGGATTCTGCTGTCATGGGAAAGTTTGAGGTAACACCACTGTTCATGCAAGAAGAAAAGGTAATAACTGTGCATATGTACAACCCCTTTGCGGACTTACATCTGGTGTGGGCATTCTTGCACACCTACTGTGATGAGTTGAGAGGGGGAGAAAGAGTCCTGAACAGATATGGGATTTGGTCTGGAAAGTATCGTTTCATGGGAAGGTTTAAAATGGATCCTGACTGTGTAGGAGGGGTGCGGAGGCCCCCTGCAGTCTTTACCATTGGAGGTGAGAGGGGCTCTCTCTTTTACCCAGGGCAGCCTAGTTACTGCAGGAAATGTCTTGTGTATGGCCATACAAGTGGAGACTGTGAACTGAGACCTAAGTGCAGATTTTGCAAGAAAGAGGGTCATCCCTCGGGACAGTGCAGAGATAGGAAGCTCTGTGACATTTGTAAAAAAAACAGGCCATTTGGCTAAACAGTGTGAGGAATACTTTGCAGCGAAGAGATGGGCTGCGGTGGAGAAGAGACTTACTGGACAGCAGGAGAAGGTGGGAGCTAAAGGGCAGTCGAGGCCGGGGAGGAAGGCATGGGAGGTGAAGGATGGTGCGGAACCCGTTGGTAGGGATCCGCCTGTCCAGCTGTTAGGAATGGACTGGCCAGCAATGGTGGGACTCACCTGCCTTTTGATCTGCAGTACCAGGGCTGGCCAGCGGGTGCTCCCAGCAATCAGAGACTCAACCTTTCAGCCAGCTAACACCTGGAACTGATGATGCTGGGGTATTTAAGGGATGGCCAGACCCACAGACTCTGCCTTGGTTTGTTGTGTTTGTCCTGGGCCCTGTATCTGTCCTGCATCCTGTTTCTGTCCCTCTGCCTGACCCTCTGTACTACGCTGCTTGTTACCTGTTTTGATCTCTGGCTTGTGACCCTGACCATCCCTCTGCCTGACCCTCTGTACTACGCTGCTTGCTACCTGCTGAACCTGGCCTGTGACCCCGACCATTCTCTGCTTGCTCCCCCTGTACCTACCTGCCCAATTGATATTGACCCGGCCTGCCTGACGACGCTTGCTTGTATGTACTGTTATCTGTGGGTGGTTTGGTTTGGTTTGTTTGCACTGTATTATGTTTAGTATTGCACTGCATTTATGTTTGTATGGTTAGTGTTAATAAATTGTATTGTTTATCACATATCTGAAGTCTGCGTTTCCCTGCATCAGTCACACACACCTCTGGTCATACCTGGGAGCCCTGACATTACACCAAGGCCAATCCTGACCAGAAGTGGCTGCACAGGGAAGCCATCTTGGCTTGTTGATGGGAAGGATGGATCTTGATGAGGTTGAATATTTATATCTGCTAGTGTTTGATGACAGGGAGTATGCTTATCAAACTCTGAAGGAGTATCCCCGGGATGAACTGCTAGAATGTATACGGCTCGCTCATGTGTCTAGTAGATCAGGGCACAGAGTTCTCTGAGGTGCAGCCTTTGATTGAGGTTTGTGCTGAGTTGGTTTCATCTGGTTCCCCGAATGCAGGGATGAATTTTTGCCACCATTTTAGTGCAGACCAGGTAGAGTCCCTGGTGTGGTTATTAGAGGATGATGTGGGTTACTTTCTGGAGCGTTATTCCACATGTTCACCACAGACACTAAGAGATTGTATAAACGCAGTACAGTCATTGACCAGACAGGCTTTGTGTAAGCTCAGCTTTGTTCAACCCATACTGCAGACATGGACAGATTTGTTGCACCCAGCCTCAGTCAGCTTACAAAGACCCAGTCCTGCTTCTAATCTATTTCCTCAAAACTCTATTCCTGCATTCCAACAGCTCCTCCTGCCCTGCTATCTACCGCATGTCAGTACCCTGTTCCCACTCGCTGCACCTATCCTGCCTTTAACCCTGTAAAAGAGCCCTCTGTAGCAACCGCTCCCTCTCCTGTTCCCATCCTCCAGTTCTTCTCTGTCTCCAGCTGCTCCATTCGTTTGCAGACCTGCGTTTACTTGCAGTGCTCCAGTAGTTTAAAACCAGAAAAAAGCGAAAATTCTTTCCAACCAATACCATCCTGCCAGTATCCAAACCGGTGAGCCTGCCTTCCGTGGTTCAGCCTGAAGCCTCTACTCGGCCTGATGCCTCTACTCGGCCTGAAGCCTCTACTCGGCCTGAAGCCTCTACTCGGCCTGAAGCCTCTACTCGGCCTGAAGCCTCTACTCGGCCTGAAGCCTCTACTCGGCCTGATGCCTCTACTCGGCCTGAAGCCTCTACTCGGCCTGAAGCCTCTACTCGGCCTGAAGCCTCTACTCGGCCGGACGCCGGCATTCAGCCTGATGCCTCTACCCAGCATGATGAACTGATCCAGCCTGACGATCCTATTAGGCCAGTTGACTCGATGCCCGCTGTTGATCCAGATGATCGGTACCTGATCCGGTGCCCGCTGTCGAGCCAAATGACCTGATGCCTGGTGACCCAGTGCCCGCTGTCATACCTGGTGACCCGATGCCCGCTGTCGAGCCAGACAATCCGGTACCTGATGATGACCCGGTGCTCGCTGTCGTGCCTGTTGACTCGGAGCCCACTGCCTTGCCAGATGACGCGGTGCCCGCTGTCGAGCCAAATGACCTGATGCCTGGTGACCCAGTGCCCGCTGTCCAGCCAGACGATCCAATGTCTGACCCAGTGCCCGCGGTCATACCAGTTGACTCGGAGCCCCACTGCCTTGCCAGATGACGCGGTGGCCCGCTGTCGAGCCAAATGACCTGATGCCTGGTGACCCGATGCCCGCTGTCCAGCCAGACGATCCAATGTCTGACCCAGTGCCAGCGGTCATCCCAGTTGACTCGGAGCCCACGGTTGTGCCTGGTGACTCGGTGCCCGCCGCCCCGCCTGGGGGCCTGAGACCTGTCGTTCCGCCTGGGGGTCCGGCGCCAGCCGCTCCGCTTGAGGGCCCGAGACCTGTCGCTCCTCCTGGGGGTCCGGCGCCCGCCGCTCCGCCTGAGGGCCCGAGACCTGTCGCTCCGCCTGGGGGTCCGGCGCCCGCCGCTCCGCCTGAGGGCCCGAGACCTGTCGCTCCGCCTGGGGGGTCCGGCGCCCGCCGCCCCGCCTGGGGGCCCGATGCCCGTCGCCCCGCCTGGGGGCCCGATGCCTGTCGCCCCGCCTGGGGGCCCAATGCCTGTCGCCCCTCCTGGGGGCCCGGCGCCCGCCGCCCCGCCTGGGGGCCCGGCGCCCGCCGCCCCGCCTGGGGGGCCCGACGCCGGCCGCCGCTCCGCCCGGGGGCCCGGTGCCTGCTGCCCCGCCCGGGGGCCCGGTCGCCCTGCCCGGGGCCCGGTGCCTGCTGCTCCGCCGGGGGCCCGGTGCCTGCTGCTCCGCCCGGTGGCCCGCTGCCTGCTGCTTCGCCTGGTAATCCGATGTGCCTCTGCCCGGAGTCCTGCCCGATGTGCCTCTGCCCAGAGTCCTGCCCGATGTGCCTCTGCCCAGAGTCCTGCCCGATGTGCCTCTGCCCAGAGTCCTGCCCGATGTGCCTCTGCCCAGAGTCCTGCCCGATGTGCCTCTGCCCAGAGTCCTGCCCGATGTGCCTCTGCCCAGAGTCCTGCCCGATGTGCCTCTGCCCAGAGTCCTGCCCGATGTGCCTCTGCCCAGAGTCCTGCCCGATGTGCCTCTGCCCAGAGTCCTGCCCGGTGTGCCTCTGCCCGGTGTGCCTCTGCCCGGTGTGCCTCTGCCCGGTGTGCCTCTGCCCGGTGTGCCTCTGCCCGATGTGCCTCTGCCCGATGTGCCTCTGCCTGATGTGCCTCTGCCCGGTGTGCCTCTGCCCGGAGTCCTGCCCGATGTGCCTCTGCCCGATGTGCCTCTGCCCGGATGTGCCTCTGCCCGGATAGTCCTGCCCGATGTGCCTCGCCCGATGTGCCTCTGCCCGGTGTGCCTCTGCCCGGTGTGCCTCTGCCCGGTGTGCCGCTGCCCGGTGTGCCGCTGCCCGGAGTCCAGCCCGGTGTGTGCCGCTGCCCGGAGTCCAGCCCGGTGTGCCGCTGCCCGGAGTCCTGCCCGGTGGGCCAGTCTTTGATATCCCGCCAGTTACCAGACCCGGGCGGTGGAACATTTTGCCCAGCTAGGACTGTTTGGAGCGTCCTGAGGCCGCTCCTTGGGGGGGGGGGGGGTACTGTTAGGAATGGACTGGCCAGCAATGGTGGGGACTCACCTGCCTTTTGATCTGCAGTACCAGGGCTGGCCAGCGGGTGCTCCCAGCAATCAGAGACTCAACCTTTCAGCCAGCTAACACCTGGAACTGATGATGCTGGGGTATTTAAGGGATGGCCAGACCCACAGACTCTGCCTTGGTGTTGTGTTTGTCCTGGGCCCTGTATCTGTCCTGCATCCTGTTTCTGTCCCTCTGCCTGACCCTCTGTACTACGCTGCTTGTTACCTGTTTTGATCTCTGGCTTGTGACCCTGACCATCCCTCTGCCTGACCCTCTGTACTACGCTGCTTGCTACCTGCTGAACCTGGCCTGTGACCCCGACCATTCTCTGCTTGCTCCCCCTGTACCTACCTGCCCAATTGATATTGACCCGGCCTGCCTGACGACGCTTGCTTGTATGTACTGTTATCTGTGGGTGGTTTTGGTTTGGTTTGTTTGCACTGTATTATGTTTAGTATTGCACTGCGTTTATGTTTGTATGGTTAGTGTTAATAAATTGTATTGTTTATCACATATCTGAAGTCTGCGTTTCCCTGCATCAGTCACACACCTCTGGTCATACCTGGGAGCCCTGACACCAGCCCCCTGTCTTTTCGGCTGATGACACTGCGCCCGCCGAGGTTGCAGCGGAAGTGAACGGAGCCGGGGGTTCCGGTGTAGCCACCGGGTGTGCGGGGGTGAGCGGGAACGCCGGCTCCGGGAACACTGTGCTCGAGGCGGGGGAAGCCGGCACCGTAGTGGAAGGGGGCGTGCCTAGAGTCTTCGGTGGACAGGAGGAGGAGCGGCGTCTACTGTTGTCTCCGCCGGGAGAGGAGGATGTGCAGCGGGAGAAGGACTTCATGTTAACCAGTGCCTCCAGGCCTGGAGTGTTGGAGGCGCTGATGGGTGGTCTCTCCTCGAGAGACGAGGGGGAGGAATTTGAGGACGTTGACAGCGAAGCTAGCCTGGAATGTGGGCAGCGGCTGGTGGTGTATGTGCCGGGGGCGGAGGCTCTGTCGGCCAGTCAAAGAGCGCGGGTGGAGGTGCAGGAGGCGGGCGGTGGTAGCAGCACTCCCACACCATTTGATGGGGATTCCGAGGCGGAGTCTGCCAGCTCTCCTGTGCCGAGGAGACGTCAGAAGAGTCATGGGAGTGGCTTGAGTTTGAGTATGGATGGGTCACAGATGGACCATTATATATTCTGTATGATGGCTGTCTGTGAGCTCATTTATTTCGTTATGATGGCGCTGACCATTAGCTCCATCAATGTAAGGAGTGTCGTTTCTAGGGAGAGGAGGGCGGTGATCTTGGAGGAGTTAAGTAATGTGAAGGCAGATGTGATTTGTCTGCAGGAATGTGGAATGGGGGAGAGGTCTTGAAGCGGAGTGGAAGCAGGGGGCATCCTTCTGGGCTCCTATGTGTGGGGTACGGAGTGAAGGTGTGGGGGTTCTAATTAAGAATGCTGCTGTGCAGTGTGTGTCCCATGAGGTGGTGGTGCCCGGTAGACTGCAGGTGGTGATGTTGGAATTTCTGGGGAAGAGGTTTCGTGTGTTGAACTGCTACGCCCCGGCTGATAAGAGAGAGCGGTGTGATTTCCTGAATACCATGAAATTGTGGCTGCCTGGAAGAGTCCCAACAATGCTTGTTGGAGACCTTAACTGTGTGAGGACGAGTGCGGAGAGAGAGGGGGTGAGTGGAGAGGGGGGAGAATTGATGTGTCCTCTAAGGTGCTAAATGAGATGGTGGGGGACTTTCATTTGAAAGATGTGGGGATGGAGGTGGAAAAGGGGAAGCCTTCCTCTACCTTTTTTTTTCAGATAAGGGATCAGTTAGGTCCCGGATAGATTTTATTTTTGTCTCACATTTTGTTAAGATTAAGGGGGTACCGTGTGGAGCCTACTCTGTTTTCTGATCACTGCCTGATTACTGCTTCTTTTGATTTGGAAGCAGGGGTGCAGTTTGGAAGGGGGCTGTGGAAGTTGAACTGGGCTTGTTTGGAGGAGGAGGGTGTGTTTGAAGCCTTTGTGTCCTTCTTTGAGGGACTCACCTTCAGGAAGCGGTTTTTTGAGGATGCTTTGGAGTGGTGGGATTGGGCAAAGAGATGGATTGCAGGTTTTTTAAGAAATTGGGGAGTGAGAAAGGCACGGAAGAAGCGGGAGGAGAGTCTGAACTTGATAGACAGGCTGCTGCATTTTTTTGCTGCAGTGTAGAAAGATGGGAGTGGAGGTGGAAAAGGAGATAAAGGAGGTTCGGGAGGAGAGGAAGGTTTTTCTGGAAAGCGGGGCAGGGAGATTGTCTTCCGGGCTAAGATCCAGGTGATGGAAGAGGACGAACAATGCTCCAGATTCTTTTTAAGAAGACCTTTGGCCCAAAGAGGGTTTTTCAGACTGTACTGGAAGGAGGCGAGGAGGTGTGTGGGGCAAGGATGGAGGAGGCGGTCAAGGCGTTCTATGATAGATTGTATGATGGGAGTGGAGGTGGTAAGGAGGAGGAGATTGAAAATTACTGTGCTGTGGTGGAAGGAAATCTGGGTGATGAGGAAGCTGAAACTCTGTTGGATCCTGTGACGGAGGTAGAAGTGGAGGGTGTTGTGAGGAGTATGAGCAGGAACAAGACCCCAGGGGAGGATGGATTGCCCATAGAGTTCTATGTGAAATTCTGGCCAGTGGTGGGAAAGTATGTGGTGGAAGTGATGAAAAATATGTTTTGAGAGGAAGGTGGTGTCCAGATCAATGAGGGAGGGTATAATTACATTGTTATACAAGAAAGGGGATCAAAGGGAGGTTAAGAATTGGGGAGGCCAATCACGTTGCTCAACTGTGATTATAAGATCTTGGCAAAACTTCTGGCCAATAGACTGAGTGGTATTATTTCTGGAGTAATTGGAAAATGGCAGGTGTGTGCAGTGCCTGGCAGGCGAATCTCTGATAACCTGATCCTCTTGAGGGATCTGATATATTACGCTCAGAGCAATAACACCCCTTTGGCGGTGGCTGGCATAGATTTAGAGAAGGCGTACGATCAGGTGTCTCACAGGTATTTATTTGCTGTATTGAGGCGGATGGGCTTGCCTGGAGGTTTTGTGGCTATGGTGGAGGGTCTGTACCAGGGTGTGCAGAGTAGGATCCTGGTAAATGGCACTTTGACGGGGGCGGTGGAGGTGAGGTCTGGGGTGCGCCAGAGGTGCCCCCTGTCGCCGATCGCCTTCATTTGTGTCATGGAGCCGTTGCTGAGGCACCTGCAGACGGACAAGGGATGTTTGTACCGGGCTGTGGGAATGAATGCTCCAAGGCTCTCTGCTATATGGATGATATCACGCTCTTGTGTGGGTCCGCTAGAGATCTGGGAAGGGCTGAATTGCAGCTTAAAATTTTTGGTGGAATGTCTGGTTTGAGGATTAATTGGAGTAAGAGCAAGGTTTGTGTTCTTAACGGATCCTGTGATGTGTCCCGGAGTAGTTTGGAGAAGGTGGAGGAGTTGGATGTCCTGGGAGTCCATTTTGAGAGGAATTTAATGAATCAGGTGAATGCTGAGAGGAGTATAGGGAAGGTGGTCAAGAAGCTGGGGCTGTGGAAGATGAGGAGGCTGTCCTTATCTGGAAAGACTCTTATTGTTAAAGCAGTAGTTCTCCCTGTGTTGTTATACTTTGGGGTGATCTTTCCATTTAATAAGAGGATGTGTCAAACTGTGACCCA